GGCGCGACCATCGTTCAGACGAACCCAGACATCGATGTCAACCAAGAAGTGCCTGCGTACGTGGAGAGCGTCCGCACATTCTGCCACAAGTGCTGGCAGCTTTGCGTCAATGACGCGAAGTGCGCTTAGCTCTTCGAGGGGTTGAAGGCGGAGAACAACGACACGTCGGACCAACATGGCGATGATGTCAAAGAGGTATCTGTCGTCAGCTTTGCATCGCTCATACTAGCCGCCAAACGACGATAAGGCGAAACATCCGGCATGGGGTTCCTTGACCTCACCTCGAGGAGAGTAGGAATTTTCAGTTCCTTTTTAGTTGTTTTAGGTTATTCTCCTATGTAAAGATTGATTCAAAAATCAATGAAAATGCGGTGACTGTTTGTATTTGGTGACTTTTTTTTAACATCAGTACAGACGCAAGCGTCCATATATATGCGCATAACCCCTATGAACGCATACACGCACACCCTATTCGTGTGAGCACCTTCGAGAGACTGAGCCGGCATATCATCTTGAGATTTACGAAGTCACCATAGGTCCATTGTCGTCGACGGAAACGTCCCATCTCACTGAAAGCGTATCGTCAAAAATTCTAAAATAAATCGAAAAATAATGTGAACACCAAGACTTGAAACCTGGTGGGCTCAGAATACTACTGTCCCTCTGTAACCCATCTACACATGTTGAGGGGCGGAGCCAGCCCAGCGAGACGCCCCGAGCCCCAGGCTTGCTAGAGTGCCACTACAGTGTCAAACAGTGCCCGAGAAGCTGCAATCAACAAAGGAATTCCTCCCCACGCCCGGAGCCCAGGCCCCCCCGGCCTGGGTCCTGGATCCGCCACGTTGGTGACTTTGGTTGGATGACCTTTGTTTCGTTGGGTCCGGACTAGTAAGCTTGCACGTGCAAATGCACGTCTCGACTAATATTACATACAAACATATGTGAGAATTAACATAGATAGAAAGATATTGTGTTTGTACCAAAAGTATTACAAATCAAGAAAATACGTTAACGTAACATATTATGCATATAGCCCAAAAAATAGGTAATGTTGTTTCCGTCGCCATTTAAATTAAGCTAACTGTTTCCAACAAGAAAAAATTTAATCAAGGTAAGCTTCATGAACACCAAAACAAAGAAGTTCTTCTCATAGATATGCACACGAATGTTGGATGATGATAAAGCAATCCAGCAAATGTGTGTACCTTAACCTCAACATTCGTCAACCCCAATGATGGCTTTTGTTGCAGTGTTATAAGTAACCTTGTGCACGGAATAGCCGACATTCATCATCATCGTCATCATCATGGCAGGTTTCTTCCTCTTTGGTGGTGTCCGAGCATTCTACGAGAACACAATTATTGAAATCAAGTAAACATTATGAATGTGGTTAATATTATGCTATACGGAAAGACAATACACCTTCAAGTTCAGCAGCCTGCCCCACAGGCTCGGAAATTCCATGTGCATCGGAGTCCTTGGAAATGTTTACTTGAATGTGGTCAATATTATGCTATACGGAAAATCAAGTAAACATGGCTGTCAATGACGCAACCTCCTTGAAAATGTGTCAACACCACCCAGAAAGAGCGGAAAAGTTGTCAAATGGAGCAAGGCATCCGCAATATGAATATGAAGTGGCGAATGCATGAAAATACACAGGCGAAGAGCTGAAGATTACTTGGTGAGGGGATGTTTGATCCACCTGGCGCCTCAGGATTGTTGGATTGGTCAGATAATGGGACAGTATGGCATTTTCCCATCTTGTACACACACTTCTTACGCAACACAGCTTCTTTATCTTCTGCCTTTATCCCAACATATTGTTCTCTCATTCGCCGTTGTTTCTTCTGAGAAGATGTCTCTGACACAGATACATGGTTAGAATACTATATCTGTAAAATCAAAATGAGACAGTCAGTAAGGACTCGTGAGTCGTGAGTATACCTGTCATTTGGGCTGATCGAACTGAGTGTTTGACTGTTTGTACATGGCACATCCAGCAACGAAGGACCATGTGTTTCATGGACCTACTCATGGTCAATACTAACCAGAGATGCAGACTTCTTTTTTGAGTGGACCTCCCGGCGCTTCTGGTTGTATTCCGCTCTCTTGTGATCCGACATATGGACCCACCAATTTGGATCACTCTTTCGTTTTTGCTCCCACGAATCGTCGCCCGCTTGATTTGCATTCACATGAATATAGGCTTATTCATCGGCTCTTTAAACGGGCAACGTTCCCCTGATCATAACGGGGATGGAGGTGGATGATGATTCTCCTTCTATGTCATGTTTAAAGAAACAATGGATTAAAAAACAAATGGTGAACTTCTTTTATCATGCCAAGCACATAATGATGGTAAACCTCTTGACTAATTTATAATACACTTTGAATTTTGCAAGTTTTTTCTTAGTACTCTTTGATGTTCACAAGCTTTTTAGGACTCCCCCGTGGTATTTATATTTTGACAGCCATGTTAAGACGTTGTAAAACTCAAATCAAGCTCTATCCCTTAACAGGCTCAGTTTGGCATTCCGTTTGATTATAACAATTCAGCTTATGAAACCAGCTTTTGATGTTTGTTTGACCAACCATTAGTTGTGTGGCTATTTTCCCACAAGTGATTATTAAAATTGACATTTTTTTAAGAAACATACATCCTATAGTCTGTGGTAGACTTGAAGAAAGTTGCTACATGCAATCTGTACACACTTGAGGCAAGCATCTCAGAGAAAACTGAAAATGAAGCTTGAGGTCGCTGGGGGCGACCCCCACGGAGCAGCAGCGCCGGCATCCAGGGATCCCCTCCTCCGTCTCCCAGGCCAAGCACCTCCGAGCGACCAAAACGATGGCCCCTTGATCCAGATTCAAACCTGACATGATGAAGAAGAACGATACCAACTCTTGGTCTCCAGGACAAGGAAGTTTAGTTTTGCTCCTATACTTTCCTATGTACAACAACAATCAGTCTGTCTCTGCTGAATTCGAGTTTACGAATTCAGTCTGTGGGTTCTCTATCTAGTCCAGTCCAGTCCAACAAGACTTTATTTGATTTGTGTTAAGAGATTTGTGAGACTGGTGCTGTTAATGAGTGCATGCGCGCCGATACATTGCAAGCAAGCTCCTTGCTGGACCTAGTCAATTTCCACCTATGTGCTAAGCTGAATTAGCAAACTCATGTTATCTCTATTACTGCTAATTAAGTACCATTCATTTACATGGTGGACCTTTAGCTCTACAATTCTCAACAATTACAGCTAATCTAGTCTGAATAGAAAACAAAAGCATGAGTTTCTTCTAATTATTCTAATCTGTGGTTTACCAAAAGGGAAATCACATGAGTTTCTTATAATTATTGTAATCTGTAAACACTTCAAGCAGGCAAACATCTAACAAAAAAGTGAATATGAAGCTCATTGCAGTGGTTTTCCAAACGAAAAATCACATGAGTTTCTTCTAATTATTCAATCTGTACACACTTCAAGCAGGCAAAAATCTAACAGAAAACTGAATATGAAGCTCATTGCAGTGGTTTTCCAAAAGGAAATTCACATGAATTTCTTCTAATTATTCTGTTGGCCTATCCTTGGTGTTTCATGAAATCAGAATCATTTGCTTGCTATTGAGTATGAGGTACACCCAAGACCCAACTGAGGGTTTGATGTTAAGGTAAAGAAAAACCTGATAAAAATTTGCCAGCTTATTAGTGGCTAGGGCCTGAACGTGGTGGCGGTGGCAGCACCCGAGGAAGAGGAGAGCCGCCGGCGGTGAGCCCGTGGGGCAGGAGAGGAGGAGCGGTGGGCGCTCACCGCCATGGGAGAAACAGCCGACCCAGAGCAGAGCGGCCGGCGGCGAGCCCGTGGGGAAGCAAAAGAGGAGCGGCGGGAGGCGGCGGCATCCCCTCTGATCGAAAAAAAAGAGGAGGAGCGCCTAGCGGCGACGGCGACGGCGATCCGCGCTCCCGTCTGTGGGGAAGCAGAGAAGGAGCGGCAGGCGGGGCGTCTGTCGGGCAGCAGAGAAGGAGCGGCGGTCGGGAAGAGACCGGTGTTCCACGCTGGGCAGTGCGCGCCACGGTCTCAGGTCCGGCCAGACACGTTGGCCAGCGCCCGTTCCGCGCGTGTGATTGTTCCACGTTCGTCGTTCTCCCTCGCTGCATCAGC